CTCGTTTCCCCTCATTATACACCTCAGTATAAATTGTTTTATGTGAGCGCTAACAACACTTGAAAATATGGCTGCATGATTAATCAAAATAAATGTTTATAATATTTTTATATTATTAAAAGTGTATATTATTTTTCTTAAATACTGTTTTGACAGTTATATATTTCAATAGTAATATTTCTTAATTCTATTAACGTTTCTATTTTTATTTAGGATTAAAATAAAACTAATAATAATAAAAATTATATATATAGTATTTAAGAAAAATTCCAGGTTTGCTCTGCTTGCTTTTTAGGGCTGCACAATTTGGCAATAAAATAAAAAATTATATATATATTTTTTTAATTTATTTATTTTTCTTAAATTATTTCATACTATTTTAAATAATTCTCATTTAGTACTATTATTATTTAATATAATTTATAATTTGTAAAAACCACAAAATTTTGGCCATATTGTGAATACCTTTTTTTTTTAAATATTAACTTTTCTATTTTTATTTAGGGTTAGGGTAAAAATAATATAATTATTTTATTATTAATGAAATTCTAGTAAAATTATATAATTTTTTGTTATTATTTTGCTATTTTATAGCCAAATTTTGCAGCCTTAAAAACAAGCAGAGCAAACCTGGAACTTTTCTTTTTAAAAACTTGCAATTACATTTTTTTTCCCCCAAATCATGCAGCCCTACTTGAATATTAATTATTCAATGTAACGAATGCTTCGAACTAGCTTACTAGATGCAAACTTGTCTTGGCACAAACTTCCGTCCTCGAGTTTGAGCTGAATCCGCACTCTCCCTCTGAACTGAACGTCTCTGTTCCATTCGCGCGGATACATCTTGTTCTGGAAGAGGAAATGATGTCATGATTCCACAGCTCTTAAATACCAGAATCAGCGCACGTATAAACCGATGATCAGACCTCCAGCAGAACATTGAGTCCAGCGGCGGTCAGAACGTCCCGGATCTCAGCACACGACGGGTTCTCCACAGCCTGAACACACACACACACAGATTAAACACACGCAAATACACTCTGATTATGAACAACACCAGCAGTAACACTCACCTTCTCTGCAGGTATTCTTCTGCCTTCTGCTAATGTCTTTTTACTGTTGATGTAAGCCGGATAGATGCACATAAACCTGGTGGGAAAAAATACAATAATAATAACAGAATATATATATATATATATACATGATTTAAAAATAAATTATAAAAAAATATATATATTAAAATAGTATATAGCTATTTTTACATATGTATATATCTTAAAAATGTATAAATATATTTAAATATAAAATTAAATGTAAATACATTTATTTACATATAAAATACTTATATATATTTTCTCACACACACACACACACACACACACACACTGATTATCAGAGTATTTACATGGAGCTCCACTGAGTTTTGCAGTTAAATAGTGTTACAGATGTAATCAGAAATATAAAGTAGTGAACTGTAAGTGTTCGTCAAACTGACCGCTCTTTATCCGCCGGGTTTGTCGTTAAATGCGCCATATCTGCAGCTTCTCTTCGGTTTAATTCGCGTTAAACGACTGGAAGCAGAACGCTGAATAGTGTCTCTGTGTACACGACACTTCCGGCGGCTCGCGTCTACTTCCGCTGGTCAGCTGTGAGCGCGTCGTGACGTCACCGCGCCGCCTGTCGGTCCGGAGAGCGTTAGCTATCTAGCTGCAGTTAGCATGTTAACATGTTCACAAAACTCGATAACATGTTCATAAAGATCGTGAAATATGTCGCAGGACGTGAAGGTGAGTAACAGAGGAGCTGACGGACGCTTTCACAAACCCGCTGAGAAGCCAGTTCATATAAACGCTGATGTTTTCAGCTTCTCATATCATGATAAAGCGTTTTATGTCATTTCAGTTTAATAGTTTAGTATTTTAATTCATTTAATTCCACATTACCACCTGTTAGAATATATTTATTTTGTATATAATGTGTTAGTTTTGTGTGTTTTCTCTTCATGTGTTAAAACAAAACAAAAACGTGCAATACTCGAGAAACTGTTTATACTTTTACATTTAGTCATTTAGCAGCTTTTAGTTTATTTTAACATATTCTACCTCTTTTCTTTGCTGTATATAAATTATCTTGTTTGTACAGTACATACATATTTTGTATAGTGTGTACATAAGTTATTAGCTGGTTAAAATGTAGAAATCATTTTAGTTTAGTATTTTTTTTGTAATTGATCTGATTAAAAATGCAGTAAAAATAGTGAAATATTATTATAATGTAAAACAGCTGTTTTCTATGTGAATATGTGTTAAACTGTAATGTATTTCTGTGATGCGCAGCTGTATTTTCAGCATCATTACTCCAGTCTTCAGTGTCACATGATCTTCAGAAATCAGTATAATATTCTGCTCGAGAAACATTTCTGATTATTATCAATGTTGAAAACATTAATATTTTTGTGAAACTGTGATGCATTTTATTTTTCAGGATTCACAGATGAATAGAAAGTAAAAAGGAACAGCATTTATTAGAAATAGAAATCTTTTGCAACATTATAAATGTCTTTACTGTCACTTTTAATCAATTTAATTAACTAGAAAGTATTATTTCTATTTTTTTTGTATGTTTTTTTAAATATTTGTACTGTATTTTTTTTTATTAACAGACATAAGATGATGATATATTATTTTGTCTTATTTTTTATTTATTTATTCACTTCTTATTGATGTATAGGGTTGCAAAAAGGTGGAAAATGTCCAGTAAATTTCGGAAACATTCCAGGGATTTTTGGAAAGTTTCTGGAAATTTACCTGGAAATGTTCCACCCCTTTGCAACCCTACCGTTGTATATTTAACACTCCTGTCTCTGCTTGTGTGTTGTGAGGATGTGAGTGTGTATTTCCGTCCGCTGCTGGAGGTCAGAGACGTGGTTCTCCTCACACACACAGTCCTGCAGGAGTTTCCCAGCAGAGTCCTCCCCCAATTCAAACCCTGGTTCCCGTCAGCGTCTGACGCCCACAGACCCATCAGACCCCTCAAACCTGCTCCTCTGATCTCCTCCGAGGATCTGCAGAGCTTCTGGCTGCGTCTGGAGGAACCGGCGGACACTTCAGACCAGAGGAAACCGGCTGAGAGCGAAGCCAAGAGATTCAAACGCTCGTGGTGCGTGATCGCAGACAGAAGCGCGCCGCTGAAGATCGCACGCTCCTTCTCAAGACTGTTCCGAAAGACCGTGGAGAAACACGCACTGCACCTCCGTCAGAGAGTCAAGTGGGTGGTGTGTGAGCGGAACTGTGGCTCTCGCGGCATGGAGGAGCTTTGGCTGGATCTGAACCGAGCCATCAGACGCTCACGACTGCCCACATGCAACGCTAACTACCAGAGAGCGCTGGCTCAGATCTGGCTCTACTGCGACGTCTTCTACTCTGAATATATTGGGAATTTCTTGAAGCAGGAGTTCCAGCTCTCAGGACAGATCACCCTAACGGGCCATAAACTTGGAGACATCGTTAAGTTATAGCTGTGAGATGATTTGTATTTATTATTAGGCGTTAATGAACCTGTTTTTATATGTCATGCATTTTACACGTGTATTAAAGGTGCTGTGGGTTTCACATCCGTCTCGGTCTTCTTGCTTGATAGAGAGTCGCTTGTTAACCTTCATTTAAGTCCTTTAAGTTAATGTCCACTAGTTGTTTTACTAGGTCAGTGATCACTAGTACTAGTGCTGATAGAGGTTATTATCATTAACTAAAACTTGAAATCATGAAGAAATTGCTACTTGAAATAAAATAAAAAAACTATCTAAACTAATAAAACCATGAAAAAATTGTTAGTTAAAATATAAAAAAACGTAATTTCTCAACATTTCTCACTTTCATTCAAGTTTAAGTTGATGTACTAAAATAATTAAAACTCAAATACAAATTAATAAAAACTGTACCGACATTTAAAAATAAAAGTGTCCTTGATGGACGAAAATATCTAAAACTTGAAATTAACACTCCTGTCTCTGCTTGTGTGTTGTGAGGATGTGAGTGTGTATTTCCGTCCGCTGCTGGAGGTCAGAGACGTGGTTCTCCTCACACACACAGTCCTGCAGGAGTTTCCCAGCAGAGTCCTCCCCCAATTCAAACCCTGGTTCCCGTCAGCGTCTGACGCCCACAGACCCATCAGACCCCTCAAACCTGCTCCTCTGATCTCCTCCGAGGATCTGCAGAGCTTCTGGCTGCGTCTGGAGGAACCGGCGGACACTTCAGACCAGAGGAAACCGGCTGAGAGCGAAGCCAAGAGATTCAAACGCTCGTGGTGCGTGATCGCAGACAGAAGCGCGCCGCTGAAGATCGCACGCTCCTTCTCAAGACTGTTCCGAAAGACCGTGGAGAAACACGCACTGCACCTCCGTCAGAGAGTCAAGTGGGTGGTGTGTGAGCGGAACTGTGGCTCTCGCGGCATGGAGGAGCTTTGGCTGGATCTGAACCGAGCCATCAGACGCTCACGACTGCCCACATGCAACGCTAACTACCAGAGAGCGCTGGCTCAGATCTGGCTCTACTGCGACGTCTTCTACTCTGAATATATTGGGAATTTCTTGAAGCAGGAGTTCCAGCTCTCAGGACAGATCACCCTAACGGGCCATAAACTTGGAGACATCGTTAAGTTATAGCTGTGAGATGATTTGTATTTATTATTAGGCGTTAATGAACCTGTTTTTATATGTCATGCATTTTACACGTGTATTAAAGGTGCTGTGGGTTTCACATCCGTCTCGGTCTTCTTGCTTGATAGAGAGTCGCTTGTTCACCTTCATTTAAGTCCTTTAAGTTAATGTCCACTAGTTGTTTTACTAGGTCAGTGATCACTAGTACTAGTGCTGATAGAGGTTATTATCATTAACTAAAACTTGAAATCATGAAGAAATTGCTACTTGAAATAAAATAAAAAAACTATCTAAACTAATAAAACCATGAAAAAATTGTTAGTTAAAATATAAAAAAACGTAATTTCTCAACATTTCTCACTTTCATTCAAGTTTAAGTTGATGTACTAAAATAATTAAAACTCAAATACAAATTAATAAAAACTGTACCGACATTTAAAAATAAAAGTGTCCTTGATGGACGAAAATATCTAAAACTTGAAATTGAAATGAAGATTAGTAAAAACTAGTAATAAACATGAGAAAAGCATGCAAAAAATTATTAAAACTAGCTAAAATGAAAACAAAATAAAAGCTAACTCTAATTGTTAATAAAAACAACAATAGTATTTCAATGATACTAAAATAACACTGCTACAGATGTAAAATAATTATTCCTCAAATAATTTGTGTATCAGGGTTATTAGAGTTAATTAAACTAAAACCACACAAAAAAATTGTTTCTTAAAGTAAACGTTAGCTGAAATAAAATAAAATATATCAAAATGTAAACTTATTTTAATTCAGCTAGTTGCCAAAGCAGCATTTCTCATTTTCATTTTAACTCGACGTACGAAAAAAGCTAAAACTAAAACTGAAATAAAAATGAATAAAAGCTATACAGACATGTTTAAAAATAAAAGCATCCTTGATGTACTAAAATATAAAAAACTTTGTAAAAACTATGGCATATAAATAAAAATGAGAAAAACCTGCAAAAAAGTATTAAAACTAGCTAAAATTCAAATGAAAACAGAAAATAAAAACTAACTCTAAATATGAATAAAAACTACAATAGTATATCATTTATACTTAAAATAGCCTTAAAAAATATTTTGTTTCTTAAAATAAATGTCAACTACAAAAAAAAAACAAAAAACGTAAACTTATTTTATTTCAGCTAGTTGCCAAGGCAACATTTCTTATTTTCATTTTAACTTGTACTAAAATAACTAAAACTGAAATAAATTAATAAAAAATATATAGACATAAATAAAAAAACTAATAAAATTGGCAAAAATCACAACAAAATTACTAAAACTGTAACTAAAATTAACATGAGAACAGAAAATATCAAAAAAAAGAAAAACCAATTCAAAATATTAACAAAAACTAATAGTATCTCATTGATACTAAAATAGCACTGCTACAAACTTTAATAAGTTACTGTCACTTTACTAAATCACCGAATGCAACCTTTTCACCTGATTCAGAGCAGAACCTTTGATTTCTTCAGTGATGCTTGATGAATTCAGGTGGGAAATCACAATTATACAATTCAATAATGGGATTTGTGCACTTTATTAGTAAGAATAGAAAGCATTTACTAAGCACGTAAATCTGTGAAGGAATCATCTGTGAATTGATTCCTTTGAATCTCCTTCATGATGTTCAGAACTCTGGTTGGTTGGTTGGTTGGTTGATTGATTTGTTGGTTGATTGGTTGATTGGTTGGTTGATTGGTTGGTTGGTTGGTTGATTGGTTGGTTGATTGATTGGTTGGTTGATTGATTGATTTATTGGTTGATTGGTTGGTTGATTGATTTATTGGTTGATTGGTTGGTTGATTGATTGGTTGGTTGGTTGATTGATTGGTTGGTTGATTGATTGATTTATTGGTTGATTGGTTGGTTGATTGATTTATTGGTTGGTTGGTTGGTTGGTTGGTTGGTTGGTTGGTTGGTTGATTGGTTGGTTGATTGATTGATTTATTGGTTGATTGATTGGTTGGTTGATTGATTTATTGGTTGGTTGGTTGGTTGGTTGGTTGATTGATTTATTGGTTGGTTGGTTGGTTAATTGGTTGGTTGGTTGATTGGTTGGTTGGTTGATTGATTTATTGGTTGGTTGGTTGATTGATTTATTGGTTGGTTGGTTGGTTGGTTGGTTGATTGGGTGGTTGGTTGGTTGGTTGGTTGGTTGGTTGGGTGGTTTTTTGGGAGATCTATCCTTTTAAGACTGAATCTGAATGCACTACATTTTGAACGAAATATTTAGGCTAT